GAGGCCTACTCTGGGGCGGTAAATCGCCTTAAATCGCTGCGATATAATGCGATTTTGGGCGATTTTAGGCGATTTAAGGAAAAACTGGGACTTTCAAGCACTGCGATTTAATGCGATTTTAGGCGATTTAAGAAAACATTTTAAATTTTAGGGATTGCAATTTAGGTGTTTTCAAAGGAATTGAATTTTATATTTTGCTCCGGTTTCCTCCCACAAGGCAAAATTGGCAGGGTGGGTTAGGATATAAACACAGTTAGGAAAGTAATATCATATTCTCATTGTTGTAAAGATAAATAGTCTAGGCTAACATAAGTAATCATAGTACTTGATGTAATCGGTCACTGAAAAGCCCCAATGTGGGGAGTGAGCTAAATAATAATGTAATGTTTCCACACACATATGCATTGTATGAAGCAAAATACAATTATTAGAACATGTATGTACATTTTATATAAAGCTAGGTTAACTAATTATTGTATTTAACCTGATTCACATATAAAGCTCAATATTCATGAACTTTTCATCCATTCTCTATTTAGAAGCCATTGGGGTTCATCTGGTGGGGTCATGTGGTCATTCATGGCTACATTATATACCACAAATATTGTAAACAGTTAATATACTCTACTTAAGGGGCATGCACTACACATGTCTTAAACTTTAATATCATTAATTTATGTCGAGTTGAAATTGCAAAATATAATATTTGATTTCCAAAAAACCCACAAGAGAAACACACAAATATGTACAAATACAGTATAACTGAATAAGCTATAATCCTATAAATTAACTTGTCAGTTGTCACCCTTGTAAGTGAAATTATCTTGTTTTGTATCATGTCAAAATTTCTTTATTTACCTTGCATTTTATTTAAACTGTTTCAATCGCGTGCTTTCTTCATGCTACAAACATGTTTTATGAAATTTTTGATATCTATATCATATCCCAGTGCCATAACTTATCCAGAAACAGTATCGTCACGCATTCGGAAACTGTTGTCGTAATGCCGCAATGTTTAAATTACATGAAGTATATCGTATATAAATGGTAGGAATTCTAATTTCTAAATTATTTTAAAATTAAAAACAAAATAATACAGTATTATTAAAACAAATGGCGCACAACATCGTGGTTTTAGGTTCTGCAAACAAACAACAACAAAACATCTATTGTACGGTATGTACGATGTAATCATTGTTTAATTTACTGTTTGTTGTATATACAGGTCTGGAAAATTAAATAGATGAGAGTTGCAAATCGCTCATAATGCACATGTCGAAGTACAACAATTGTATACAATGCAGTGCTCGACCTTACATGCAACAGTGCACAAATTACACGATGACTTTATTATATAAATCAACACTCGTACTCATTGACTTTCCTAGTCTCCTACTGTTGTTCTAATTAACAGCAATTAGACTTTGAGAAGCCATGTAGATTATAGTTTAATTTGTAGCCCAGCCTCCATATAGTCCATATAAATTGTAGCCCAGCCTCCATTTACACCAATAATATCATAGTTTCCTCCAAATCCTTTGTCTCGCGAGGTACGATTAATCACTAATTTACCTCATTACTAAAACATGGAGTAAAATTAGAACTAATTTTACCACTGGCAAAATTAGAACTTTGCCCATGGTAAAATTAGTTCTAATTTTCCCCTGCATGCTTGATGAGGGAAATTTAGAAGACAAAAGCGTACCTCATTACCTCTGATTGGAGAGCTGTACCTCATCGAAAATCATCGGCACAACTATGGACAGTATCTGACGACACCGCCCCGTACACATTCGAACAATCACTTTGCCAGCTTTTATTCCCTAATCTTGAACATTTCAATTGTGGGAGAAAATTCCGTTTATGCGCATGTCTAAAACGCCAATGAACACGGAGATGTGTTTCTGCGCGTGCGTATATATGAAAAGTGTTCGTACCACAATCATAAGACAATCAAACAGCATTCAAAACCGGCAACACACCACGCGCGATTCCCTCGTTAACTATGATATTACAAAGTAATAGCATGGCATTACGGTCGATTAGTGATGAAATGTCCCTCAAGCCTCGAGAGGTTTAGTAAAAGTCCCTCGGTGCTACGCGCCTCGGGACTTTTACTAAACCTCTCTCGGCTTTCGGGTACATTTAATCACTAATCGCCCTGAATGCCATGCTATTACTTATAATAATGAAATTAACTCATTCTGGTAACTAGCTCAATTTTGTTGCTGGTAGTGTATGGGATCTATGAGTCTTTCAGATCCCAATTACCTAATTATTGTAAAGTCTGCATAAAGCAGAAAAAAGGCTCTGTTTTTGTCAATGACCGGTGCCTATTGAGTGACCAAATATTGTCAGCCTAATCCACTTATTTGATTGCTAATTCATGTTGCATTACTTTTGATTGCAAAGCACCTGGATTACATGATTTGCCCGTAAAATAGCAGCAATTGATAAACTTGAGTACATGGACTGACTGTATCAAATAGAATGCCTGTTGGCGATCTTAAGCGATTTTAGGCGATTTTAGGCGATTTAAGGCGATTTACCAGCCCAGAGTAGGCCTATGCATTAAGGTTTGTTTACACTTGCAATTTTCACTGCGATTTTAGGTGCGATTTTTTCTGCTGACGTGATGGCAACATTGAAATTGCCAATGTAAACACCCTGCGATTTAAGTGCAATTTCAGCGCAATTAAAGTGCAATTAAAGTGCAATTAAAGTGCAATTTAGTGCGATTTCGTTGCTTTCGTGTGCAGAAATTATTGAAAACTAAATTAAAATAAAAGTCTAGACGTAAAAACAGGTTTAAAAATTATGTTTAAGTTTTATATTCCACTTAAATATAGATGAAATCGAAACTGAAATAGCTGCTGTTGCTACAACAGCTTTCCTACGTGTATTGCATGCTCGCACGTTCTCAGCGAAAAACGCCGGGAAAGAAAAGTTTGGATAAAGAAGTGGATTGCGAGCAGGTAATCAGACGGGGCTTTCCACAAATTAGAAAAGAATGTCGATAGCCTAAAACATTATTTGAGAATGGATCTCCCTGCATTTGAAGAGCTACTGCGGAAAATAGGCACATACCTCCAAAAGAAAGATACAGTTTTTCGAAACTCGATCAGTCCCGCCGAACACCTGGCTGTTACCCTTCGCCTTCTGGCAATGGGCGAATCGTACACAAGTTTGCAATACCAATTCCGCATCAATAAAAGTAATTTGTCAATCATTATTCCTGAAGTTTGTAACACCATTGCCACATATATTGTTCGGACTGTATTGAATGCCCAAGCACTGCCGAAAAGTGGGGAGAAATTGCAGCTGAGTTTTACCAGCGTTGGCAACTACCGAACTGTATTGGTGCAATTGATAGCAAGCATGTACGAATTGTCCATCCTCGGTGTTCTGGCTCTGATTATTACAACTACAAGGGCTTCTACAGCATTGTGCTCATGGCTATTGTGGGCCCTTCCTCGGAATTCATATACGCTGATGTGGGTTGCCAAGGACGTATCAGTGATGGCGGTGTGCTGAGAAACACGAATTTCTTCAAAGCATTAGAGGCAAACAGTTTGGGCATACCGAACCCTAAATCCCTCCCAACAGCCCCAGAAAATCGCGGCCACGTAGACGAGGATAGTTCTTGCCAAATACAGCATTATTTTGTCGGCGATGATGCATTCGCGTTGGCTCCAAATATGATGAAGCCATACCCCCAAAGAGGCTTGACGGAGGAACAACGTATATTAAACTAGCGCCTATCCGAGCGCGGAGAGTCAGTGAAAATGCATTTGGAATTATGAGTGCAAAATTTCGAATGTTTCATACGACACTTTGTGCTAAGCCAGAGAACGCAGTTGTTATCGTCCACGCAGGTTTGCTGCTTCACAATATCCTGTTGAGAAAATGCCCTTCGATTTACGCTCCCGTTGGATCTCTAGATCACCCAAACGATCAATGGGGAATTATAGACGGTGATTGCAGACAAAGCACAGACCGTACTGGAACTTTTACATCTTTCCCTTCACCCGGTTGTAACCATCTCAAGAGTGCCAGTTAGATCAGAGATTGCTTGTCACAGTATGTCAATGGACCAGGACAAGTGCAGTGGCAATGGAAAACAGTACTGGGATAACTAACTATTAGGTGTTTTGACTGTTGACTTGTTTTCAAAGGGTATAAACATTGAACCATTTGTAAAACATTATTGATTGAATGGCAGTTGTTTACTTGTATAATTAATATATGCAAAATAGCCATTAGTTTGAAAGTGTTCTTAAATTATTATCCAATCATATGTCCTGCATTGTTGTTCTAATCATTTTGTTTACGCGTTTTGGCTTGTTTTTTTCAAAGAGCTTTTCTATAATTGTGATTGGTTGTCAAAATATTCGAAATTCGTTTTTTGTCAGACACAGACCTGTCAGACCTATTTTTGGTGGTAACTGGTCACAGTGGTCAGTGTCAGTTTATAGGTGTAAAGGACTAGACGTACTATAGGCTATAGCTGAACTACGCTTGTAGTGTGCTTGATTTCTTGCTTGATTATATAGGAATATTAGCGCGGTTTTGTATAGTTTATATTGCACATATTGTGTGCAATATTAAAAGTTACTTAAAACGTTCAATAACGTGTTTATACTACAACGATCAAGATACGATTCGTCGGCGTTGATATAAACCAAAGACAATGTGACAATGAAAAACAGCTGGTACGTATATATTGGATATAGTAATAAATCGGAATGATTTTAATAAAAATGACATGTAATTGTAAAACTTGATATTGTTAATATTTTAAAGCAATTAAAACATAAGTCTTCGACTTTCAGATGCCCAAGAGGCTGATGGCAGTTGATCCTGTCCGCTGCACTCAGCATCAAACAAAAGTGCTGAATCTTTAGTACGCCGGTCTTCAATTTGCCTCAACGAATGTGCAACGTGCATACCGAACGTTTCATCGGCGTCAAGTTCCTCCGAATGCTTGCGCTTATTAGTAGCGAGCTTGTCCAGCACCGTCAACGATTTTTGTAAGACAATATTCTCCATCTTTTCACGGACATTGGCTTTCGACTTCACCGACTTGCTGGGATCGTTTTGCGACTGGGTTAGGACGTTGAATGGTCTTGATATGGAAAACTCGTCGTTTATTAACTCACTTGGGTCGTTTAATAAATTATTTTCATTGTCCATTGACATTGTCGTCACTGTTGTTTGTATCTTCACTCGGCTCCAATTGAACTTCGCTTGATGCCAGCTCTGATGCAACTAGTGTTAGTCTGACTTCTGGAACGCCCGACGTTGGCTTCGTTTTCACCGGTGTGATACTGTCTCGCAGAATATGCAATGAGTTATAAAATCGCCATGATGGCTCGTAAACGCTGCTCGTCCCTGCACCACTCGCTACGGAAGCTCTCACTTTTCCCATCTCCTTGCCGTACTGGGTTCGCAAGTTGCTAATCTTAGCTTTAATATCTGCATCTTGAATGGTAAAAGAAGGAACAAAAAATGGTTTTGGTATAAAAGTTAAAAGATAATATTATAAATCACTGCACTGGTGATTTTGCCACAAGTTGTTTGCCAAACAAGCAAAAACTGAAAAACAGACGGACGTTCATGGCATTATTTATGGTTAAGGTTTGATGAAATACATTGTCTAGAAATCTAAAAGCATTTATATAGCTATTTCATTGAAGTAGCTAAATACAAATTTATAAATTATACACTGTTTGGTTATCAAATTAAAAGTCAAATTAAATGCTTTTTTACCAGTGAACGAGCTTTCCAGCTCTGTTTCAAGTTTTCTTCTTATGTCTTCGCGGGCAGACTGCCGTTTGTCCACTCTCTTGAACTCTGGACTGTTTGTCTTATAAAGACATTCATAGTTTGGCCATAACTCCACCAAAAGCTCTTCTTCCTCGACTGTCCAACATACCTTTTTATTTTTACATTTCTGCACCGTATTTGTTTTTTTGCGCCATTTTTGCTCCCCCAAAAACAACTGCAGGGGTGGCAGAGTCACGTTTTGCCTAATTTTATTGCAAAAATTGCAGCGAAGTGCATTAAATTTCGAGCAAGATCGAAAATATCGCACCTTGTTGCACTTGATTTGGACTGAAATTGCACTTAAATCGCAGGGTGTTTACACTGGCGATTTCATGTCGCCATACGTCAGCAGAAAAAATCGCACTTAAAATCGCAGCAAAAATTGCAAGTGTAAATAGGTCTTTAGACTGAAATCTTTTCAAGATCCACAGGTGTAGATGCAGCATAAATTAGAACGGCGACGTCAGTATACAAATTCATGCAACACTTTAATTTTTGCAGCTTTTGACAAACTGTTTACATAAATATTCAATAATAACGGGCCCATGATACTCCCTTGAGTGACACCAAGGTCGATTTGAAGGGTTTCTGATAACTCTCCTTTAACACCCACCACACATTGCTATCTGTCTACAATATACGATTTGAACCATTCCAATGCACTTTTAAACAATCCGATATGTTCTAGCTTTCCCAATAAAACTTTATGGTTTATGGAATCAAATGCTTTGGATATATCGTCAAATAGAAAGCCAGTGAGTTATTTCTCTTTCATGGCTTCAACCGCCCACCTGTTCATTTGTTCTATCGCCTGTACAGTGCTATGCCGACGCCTAAAACCATACCGATGCGGATACAAAAATCCCACTGATCAAGATGTGCAGTCAGTTGTTCGTGAACAACTTTATCCATAACTTTGCTTAATACCAGCATACCGAAATAGGTCGATAGTTTTCAACTAATAGCTTATCCTCACTCTTATTGGTGCAGTCTTCCACACATCAGGCACAGTCCATCAACTATTTATTTATTTATTTATTTACTTACTTGTAATATTTCACATTATATCTGCTCCCGTTTGATGAGCCTTTGCAATATGTGTCTTCTTCCAATCTTCGTAGCTTTGAACGATGCCACTGAATGAAATGACAAACACAAGAAAGGTGGCTGCATTTTACATGTCCGCTGTTCGCACGTGTCTTAGCCATTTGCATATTGTCAAATTCCATTGACGTTATATGTTAAAATTCCGTCATTTCCTTTTCATTGCCGACACTACTTGCGATAAATACACCGAGATTTTTTCCAATTTTCAAAACTTATTTGAGATACAGCCTTACACTGTTTCCATGCAACAGTAGATAATTTGCGTGCGACGGTACACCCGATATTTGCAAACACTTAATAAAATAGGAGGCTACAGCTTTCGGCTCCGGCAGAATACGCTTACCATTTCAAACTGGAAATGTTTTATCTCTGTTGTTCTCACGCCCAATCACAGAGTTTAACTTAATGAGTGCCACATTTCTTTAGGATTCACTGATGATTTAATCTGATTTTTATACTACAGCGATTCAGCTGATTTTGTCTTCCTGCTTGTCAACTTTTTGAACTTGCGATAATTTTCCCTTTGTTCCTTCACATGCATTTGTCCTTTTAGAAATGCATTATTTCCTTCAGCCATTAATCCCTTCGTGTTATTTGTAATCCAATGTTTGAATACATTTCTTAATCTAAGTTTCTATTAAGGGGTGTGTTTATTTACAACATCAACGAGAAGTGCATGTAGTGCATGCAGATATACAGCATCATTCATTAATATCAGCAAAACATTCAACAATATACTCCACGGAATCTTGACATCAAAACATTCAACAATATACTCCACGGGCAGATTTCCACACAAAACATTTCTAAAAATTCACATTCTAAATCCCTTCTGCGTTTGCTAGACAATTTGTCTTTAACAAATATAACACAGCCGCCACCAAATCTGTCTCTATCCTTTCTATACAATACGTAATTCGATGGACACACTGCATATCCTATCAGAAAACGTTACATCCAAACGGGATTCCGTTATTGCCAATACATCAAGCCCTCCGTCTAGTTCAAGAAAAACATTCATATCAATTATAGATTTCCAGGCAGTGTGACAATGTTTAGATTGAACAAACTTTATGTCGTCTTTGTTCAAACCAGGGTTTTACCTAGACTAATATTAGCACTACCATCACTTTGATCGTCTGCTTTTGATGACGTTCGGCTACATTTAATAGGTGAATTAAATCCTAGAAATAAACACTATTGCCCAACTTTTGGATTTAATACAAATTTCACTGTACTGTTTAGATTCCATCACAATACTTTTTTTTTTAAACAAGCATCAGACGAGTCGAGTCGCATTGAATAGCCTTTCGATTTTTTCTACAAAATTTGTGGCAAGCAGACAAGGATCTCTTACAGGCTCAGGACTAGTTATAACATCGCCCGCAAGTTACACCAAAGAGGTAGCACGTATACTGATATTTGCAAACTTTGTAGCAATGACAGCATTTAAGGATCGCGCTACTAGTGAAGCCTTGCTTAATATCCAAACCAGTTGAGACGTAAACATGAAGCATCATTATTCAGATATTTTGTTCTTTTTTGTGAGCCCACAATTATAATAATAATGAAGAAAAATGCGACAAGTACCGTAGAGCAACAAAGACAACCTTGGCGGCCATCTTGTTATCGCTTATATAGCAATCATATAGCAACCAAAGACAATTGTTGAAACTAATTATTATAACCAGGCGTTTCTGAATAATTGAAAAACACGGACATGCTGGAATTATTTTAATATTCATTTTGCCAAAAAACCGAGAAGCCAACTCCTCCATAAAGCTTATTATTATATGGCTTTTCAAAATTCTCTATTCTGATTGGTTGACAAGCGGTCTGTAAAAACCCATATCCAGACAGTGGTCCGTATTTTCCGCGTATCTGGACCGGTGTTCCGGATGTCGTTTATCTGGCGGGAAATGTTTGCTTTGCAAACAGAAAAAAACTTTTGCTTTTTAAATTTCCAATTGTGCTTTACAGATAAAAATTTCAAACAACCAAATTGTTTTTGATTGAGCAAGCATGCCTACCGTATATTGTTACCCAGTGAAACTGACGATAGCCAATTTAATTCACGCGAAAAGCATGTGCTCACAGACTCAGTTCAGCCACATAATAAACCGATTATTGACCTCGCCTGTCCGGTCTGTACTGTGAAATATCAGAACTCTGTTTTTATGCATGGACCTCGCTCCTTCGACGCTCGGTCCATACTAAAAAATCTCGTTCTGATATTTCACAGTACAAACCTCACGCTCGGTCAATATATAAGCCGTTAATATCTACAGTCTGTATCGGGCATAAGCAACCAACGTTTATGACGACACGAACGTTGACCGGAAGCAAATTTGACATTATCAACCAATAAACATTCTTGACCCAGTCTTTTGACGTTACTCATGCCGTTCGTGTTGTCAAAAACGTCGCTTGCTTAAGCTCACTAAGATCTACAGTCTATATCGTAAGATGCCATCCGGCGAGGCAAATATTCTAAACCGAACAAACTCTTGCAAAAATCCTATCGTCCTAAGAGCATATTTACATATTAATAACTTACTAACCGAGAGTGAGGGCAGTACGGGGAAATATCCAACCGAGGACTCGCTGTAATGACCGAGCGATAGCGAGGTCATTACAGCAAGGCCTAGGTTGGATATTTTCCCATACTGCCTGAACGTTTGAGGTGATCAGTAAGTTTTTATTATATGGCATTGTACGTTTGTAAAAATGAGAAAAAGATCACGCGAGGGCAAAGTACAAAGTCCGACACAATTGCAAAAAACAATTATAAAAAAATGTTCTCTTGGTTAATAAAACTATCCTAGAGCAATTTTTATAGAAAACTAACACAGTTTGGATAGTATTTCAAGAAAAATACGAGATTCTGTATCTGATTTCATCATTTGTTCAAAGACAACAAATATGAAACAATAAAATCAATAAACAGCATCGACATGTACGTTTTTAGTTCGCTTCATCTCATATACTTTATGTTTCTTTTCAGTGATAAATTATAAATATGTGGCTGCTTTAGTTGTATTTTTTATTTAGATGGTGTTACTTTCCTCCTGGCTATCTGCAAATAAAATATGAAGCTCTTCACATAGTCAAACCACAACTACTCTTGATTGATTTAATAGTTATAAACATGCATTGCAAAATTTACCTTGTAAATTCGACTTTCGCTAAGAGAACGTATTGAGAAAGTTCTTTAACGACAGCCGAGTTGCGCCTCTTCTCTATTTTAGGTCTATTTTTCTTCCTTTTGAATAGCTTGAAAGATTTTTAGAAACTTTTTACCGTTTGAAACTCGGCTGTCGTCGCAGCTTTGTTAGGCAATAAAAATCGCGTATTGCCCGTGGGCAATACGGGAAAATCCTGCCTCGTCAACAGCCAATCAATTTGTGCCATTCATCGAAACAAATGCTTGCCATGTAATAATATCACATATTTATCAGTGTCATAGACATATTGACCTGTTTGAATTTCTCTCGATTTTAAGTGTTCTTTTATCAATACATCCACTGCAGCTTTTTCATCTATTCGGCCTTACGAGTACATGTCAGTAAGATTACCGTCATAAATGACGAGTGTGGACACAACAATTGCACAGTCTAAATCTTAAACGGATTTATTTATCCGTTGTTCTTAAAGAATAGTTGCTCATGATTTGTTGTCTTTCTTCAGGGAACAATAAACATGAATATATATTCTATTCCAACGCAACACACATTTCCTATGTTTCTGTTGATGGTGGCGAATCTACGGCTATTCTAACGGCGCGAAGTGCAAATCTAGGTTACGATGAACAAAACTACCGCATCTGGTATTATGATACGGTTGCTGCTACACTCCATAAGGCGAACTTAGACGCTAGCGGTTTGGAAACTGTTTCTGTTCCATCAACCTTTGGTCAATTTACAGTTGATGGTGTGAATCAAAGTATCTACTACCTGAACGACAACGATGACACCGTTAAATCAATTCATTACAATGGAAATCACTTTCCAGAGATTGCTGCATTACAGGGCGGCAATGAATTCCAGGACATACAAATTGACCCCTATAACAGGTAGGTTACAATATTAATCGCCAGCGTCTGTTTATGATCCATGGGTGTTTGTTGATGGAATACCAAAAGGAAGCGTATAATTATACAATTTTAGACCTAATCAGAAACAGTTTAATTATTTCGGCAACGAACTTATCATTTAAAACACTCGCAGTTCGTTCTTCACCAGATATAGAGCATTTCAGTACTGCACCATGCAGAATGCTGCAGGTTTGATTCCTCTCAGAAGGCCAGTAGTTGCTTTTTCACAGCTGCTTATGGTTAAGTCAAATGCCTAAAATTTATAATCAAAATTATTATCTACAAAATTTTCAATATATATAACTAGTCATATCAAGGAAGATGCCCAAAACATGGGATCACCTTATTATTATCCAAGTTAATGCTCTACACCTAAATAGCATGCAGTTCTGTAAGTTGAATTTCTGGCAGATTGCCAATTGTTTCATTTTTTCAGGTCTAAAAATGTATATAATTTATTTAACTTACCATAGTCTACCTTTCATGACTGTGGACTATTTTGAGGTGCCTGAGATCACCTTAGCCACCTTTAGATAACTTCCAACTAACTTTAGACAATATTGCCTTGGACTGCTTTGTTAGACTCTCGTACTTAGCATATGTATAGCTATCTTAAAAAACTCATTAATATTTTTGAACATTTATCATTTATAGACTTCGAGCGCGGGGGATTCGGCGAAATATTACCGAAGTGATGATATTTCCCAAGGGGCTTTGCCCCAAGGGAAGGTTTAAAATTGAATTATTCATCACTCATTAATACTATTTATGTTTTGTCGGCCATCTTGTTGTCATGCGTGTTGTCCCGTGTGGTCTACGCGAATAATGTTCCACTCCATGATCCCCGCGGAACATGGGGTGGAACATTGTCAAAAGGAACGCACGCTCGCTCGTTGATGACGTAATATCGCGGTTAAATTCATGCTCACGTGCCACAACCTAAACTTCCTGATTGGACAATTTGAAGTTGAGATATAATATTACCGCCTATCACATTGTGGATACCAATCACATGCGTACAATTTTTCTGTTTGGAAATACTATATTTACCGCCACTTTTTTGAAAATCTTTAAATTCTAATATTGGTACATGGGTTTGGCAAAATTGGACTTTTTAGAAAATCTCACTAAACTTTATAAAATTAGATGACGTTCTACTTTGAAACAGAAACAACGTACTATTGATACTGTGATTTCAAATGCTTGCGTTGCCAAAAATGAAATATTTTCTACAAATCTGTCCGGGACATATGTGGAATTTGGAAAAAAATTAAGGATATTCTAAATTATTCCTCAAAAAAGTCCCCTTAAATAGAAAATCCCTGTTGATAATATTTCGTGTTATATATCCTTCGGCTCAAAATTTCTATCTGCAAAACGTTTCGAACGAAGGCATTTCGCTGGAAATGGTAGTATTGCATCTCTATCACGTGTTTTTTTAATTTTATCCATGTCACCCGTGCAACGGCATATAGTTTTATTCAAGAAATTAAAACCAAAGTTTTGGTTATTGAATGAACTAATTGCATGGGAATACAACACGATAACTGATGTCTATTTCTTTACAACAGCATGCATGCGTATTTTTCAATTTGCATTTTTTTCCAACAGGATTGTTTATTAAACAGTTTAAGATTACCCAATTTGCAGACCTATCATACAAGAATATCTAGGCGGGTTTAATGCAAGGATTCTTTGTGTATAACTTTGAAAGCATCAAATGTGTATTTTAGTATATTTCTTGCAACCATGCATGCATATAACAGTCAAATGAAGTAATTATTTATTTGTTCATTCAGGTCCCTTTAGGGAATTAATATCGTTGAAAATCGTTTTTAACGCTCGTAATATCATATTAATATCAAAATTGTTGTTCTCTGGGGAAATATGTAGTTTAGCGTAATTGGTTACTTTACTTCCGGTATAAACACACATTTTAACAGAAAATATAGTGCTTTAAATAAAGCTTCAAGGGGTCATGATTTTTAATGTTTAAATTTTAAAATTTTAAAACTAGGCAATAAAACGCAAATCCTAACCGCAAATTTTTAAAAAAAATTTCTATTTTACCTTGTCCCGTTGAATCCAATCCAAAAAATTTAAAAAACCTACCCGCTTCGAAGCCTTAATTAAGACCCTATATTTTCTGTTCAAATGTATGTTTTTTAAGTGGGCTTTCTGTGCTCGCAGGGAAACTACATACAATAACCACAGGACGAAATCAGTAGCTATCATCATGGTTAAAGGTGGCGTAAAGCGATGTTATTGGCGGCTTTATTCACATTTAATCAGTTTGATTAAATTTAGTAAATGTACCTAAACTCTCCTTTCAGCATGCAGATTAAAGATTTTTCTGGAGGCTTTAAATGTCCAAATTATAGTATAATTATAGATGATTAAAGACGACCTATTAAAGAATGAGAAAAGTTTGTTTAAAGAGAATTAAAGGTTTCTAACTTGTCTTTAACTGCGAAGAGAAATGAGTTGTAAAGGTACCTTGAAGCTACATATACAAAGCTTTTCTGCTCTGGTATTTTACATCTTTAATCACATTTAATGTGGTGTTGAAATTGTAAAAAGGTGCATGTCTTTACTCAACTTTAAGCAAAGGTGTTTTGAATCTTTATTTTACCTTTAATCACATTTAATATGTGTTGAAATTGTGAAAAGGTACCTGTACATGCCTTTACTCGACTTTATGAAAAGGTGTTTTGTATCTTTATTTAACCTTTAATCACATTTAATGTGGTGTTGAAACTGTGAAAAGGTACATGTCTTTACTCAACTTTAAGCAAAGGTGTTTTGTATGTTTATTTAACCTTAAAACACATTTAATGTCGAACGAAAGGAACAGAAAAGAAACGTATATTGTCTATTTGACGTTTCCATTTGCCATTTAAATACCTATAGTATTGTTTAACCATTAATGGTTAAACGTTTGGCTTAGGTCGAATAGAGGGCTGTCCATCCTCGCGAGGAACAATTCTGCTCCGTACCAGTTCTGACAAAGACAAGGTGGAGCCTGTCTAACTTTTTCTTTGCCCTTCGTATAGAGATGGACTCTCCCAGGGTAGCCTACGAACGTTGTAACGCATGATCCTTTTTGTTGTTTCGTCGACCTCGCTTTCTTCTGATGACATGTACAGTAGCCTGCCCTCATAACATCGAACACTCTTGCAGTTTTCTGGGCACCCCAATTTGCCTTTTCCACGTGCTTCAGCCTGCGTGCAAGTCTCTAAAGAAAGATACAAAATAATAACAAATAAGCTTGACACTACTACAAGTTCTTAGCAAACTTATAGTACAAATGTTGACTATTGAGTTCACACAGTACAATTTTGTATCAAATGTTGATTTGATGATTGGATGACATTGCCTGGATGACTTTTCCTTCCACCGTATGCGCGTTGTTCAGACTCTGAAAGTTCTTTAAATTCTTCTTCATAATCATTTTACACACGATTTCCCTTTTCGTCGCAGGCGACATACAGTAGGTAATTTGGGGGGGGGGGGGGGGTGTTAGGTAGACTGCTTATGCATGCCACAACTTTGCTCAGCAAGAAATCCGACTTTGGAAGCCTTACAGATTCATCCACGAGGTTATCGAGGCATTACAAGCAATGAGCATAAAAATGTCATTTACTGCATGTATTTAAATTTATACATTGCTCGGGGAGACAAAGCAAAAGGTAACTTTCAAATAGAGTGTCACAAATGTCACAAACACCCAAAGACGGATGTTTTAGATTGAGCAACCCCCTTGAAATACAAAGCTAAATTAATGCCTATCAAAATTAAATGCAGTGTTATAAGTTCAAACCTCGAATCTTAAAAAATTGGTTATACTGTGTAAATTAATGCTAAAGCTGTTAACAGATCTTCAAAGTCTTTAATCCCTTGCTGTGTGTTAATGTTGGTGGAAAATTTAAACACGCAAAATAATTTGTTCTGGATGTTCACGAGAACTTGTACCAAATCATATGTAAAAACCGCGTAAACATTTTAAAGACCATGATGTTTGTGATGTTACTCTGAGTGTATATCCAGACCAAGCAAGCTTGAAAAAAATATGCCTGACCACGGTGGGAATCGAACCTATGACCCTTGGAATACTAGCCCAATGCTCTGCCAACTGAGCTACACAGTCAGGTCGGTTCGAGTAACACTACAGTATGTGATTTTCGGAAATGAGCCTAGTTACTTCGATAACAATGCAATCTAATAATCATGATTTTTTCTGTGTTGGTGTAATGTATTCAGGTGAATATGATGCTTGTGATGTCACTCTGAGTGTATATCCACACCGGGTAAGCTTGAAAAATATGCCCGGCCTCGGTTGGAATCGAACCTAGATGACCCTTGGAATACTAGCCCAATGCTCTGCCAACTGAGCTACGCAGTCAAGTTGGTTCGAGTATGTGATATTTCAGAACTGAATCTAGTTCTTTCGATATCAATGCAATCTAGTAATCATGATAGCTCAGTTGGCAAAGCATTGGGCATTCCAAGGTTGTAGCTTTGATTCCCACCCTGGCCAGGTCTATTTTTCAAACTTCCCCGGTGTGGTGATACACTCAGAGTATCATTGCACAAACATCATATTCACCTGAGTACATAACACCAACACAGAAAAAATAATTTTAAGGACCATTCTTTAAATACAGTGCACATGCAAAGGTTGTCACATGCAATAGTCAATTCTACAATCCAAAACGCAAATATTTTTGACAAAATGCAAGCAAATGCAGATAATATTGCTGGCATGTGACATTTGACTACTGCAATACAGCATTGCTTGTGACAACATCATAAGAATTACAGTAGCTGCATATTATACTCTTTCTATACTATGCTCAAAAGTCTTTAATTAAATCAAATTTTGAGACATGTGCTATGTACAAGTACAGTAGAATTGTCTAGCTTTAGTCATATATAGGACGATTCTCTGGTGTGAGCAAAACTAAAGTGATACCACTCTATAGACGTTGCTGTGTTGGGAGTTGATTACCAGAATCCAGATACCACAGGAGTTACCGGTATAAGGTTTTAAAATATATCTATTGGGCCAAAAAAAATATGTGGGTTTCCGGTTTCCCGACCCTACCTACCTTTTGGACGTCGAAATCCCGACCCTAAACCTTTTTACTGGATCATGCTTGTAAGTGTTTCCACTTAGAGGAAAAAGTTCGTGGAAAATTGAAATTTGAGGCAATATTAGGGAAATTTATCTAATTTGGATGTGAAAGCACTGACTAAACAAAATGGCGTTCATTTGTTTGGAAAATTTTAAAAAAAGTTTAAAAAAAATTAAAACCGACCTACCCTACCTAAGTTTTTATAAGAAGAAACCGGAAACCCACATATTTTTTTGGCCTTGGGCAAGACAATTACAAATACCATAAATACTGTGTACACCATACCTTTTATTAAAACAGTTGTGGCCCTCCATACTCATGAGCCAGTTGCTTGGAAACCTTGGAACACAGCATGATGTTGTGTTGAGAGTCAACACTAAAATTAAAACAGAATATTTAGTATAGCTGTATAAGATGACTCATGTTTCATAAGTGTATGCCTGCAACAGCGGCGTAGCTAGAACCGATAATTGGAGGGGTGGGCGGGGGGGTGTATATTCATATATTCATGTTCATGTAGTGTAACAACGTTAACAATTACTTTCAAAAGAAATCCCTCAGGCAGAACACGAATATATGAATATACACCCCCAATGATCAGTCTAGTTACGGGCCTAGCTGGCCTGCAAATACAAGTTAACTTGATATTTTCTGTGTTGGTGCAATGTACTCAGGTGAATAAGATGCTTGTGATGTTACTCTGAGTGTATATCCACACCGGACAAGCTTGAAAAATATGCCTGACCACAGTGGGAATCGAACCTACGACCTTTGGAATGCTAGCCCAATGCTCTGCCAACTGAGCTACGCGGTTGTACTTGTTGGCTTGCACCAACACAGAAAATATCATTATTACTAGATTACAGTACATTGATATGAAAGGAACTAGATTCTGTTCCGAAATATCGCATACTCGAACCGACCAGACCGCATAGCTCAGTTGGCAGAGCATTGGGCTAGCATTCCAAAAGTCGTAGGTTCGATTCCCACTGTGGTCAGGCATATTTTTCAAGCCTGCCCGGGGTGGATATACACTCAGAGTAACATCACAAGCAACAAGTTAACTTGTATGAATGTGGTCATTGTGGTGTTTCATAAATATAATGTTAGTACACAAAGTTACCTTTCATCAAACGTATGCTAGATTACTCTCATAAGCATTCAATGCTTTCAGTTTACGACGAACATAATCCTATAAAAAATGAGATATATGTTAAAGCCACAATCCCTCCTGGTGCACTTACTATGCTATTTTACACTGTACACAGCTTTAATAGTGCCTCAAGAAATTTAACACAAAAAGTAAATTCACATTTCGCAAGCAAGAAAGAGAAGCCAGGGTACCCGAGCTGGTCTGGTTTTGGAGAGACACCACATTTGGTATTATTTCTTGTCAATTGTCCAATTTAATCTTGCGATAACATGAGAACTGAACTGACCTGCCCAAGTGTAATGGCCTACCTCAACTGTAGTAGGCTGTGGCCAGTCTGGGTGCCTTGTTACTTGCTTGGATACCAGGGCTGGTCTGCCTCCATATATGAAATACAGCACTAGGTATACTATAGTACAATAGACACTTAATCCTTGCCTTGTTAACCTAGGCTGTGAAGAGTTTTGTGATTGTGATATGCACTTTGGAATAATGCACAAAGCAATGTTTTGTCCGCCTGGGAAAGGATGGCATACACAGGAATTGACTTGAGTTCTCGCAACTTGAAATTTCTTAATAGGGGAAAATTTGACAAAGATTGACTAAAAAGTGATGCTTTGCAGTGGAGCTTATTGTCATACATACAGTAGCAAAATTGAAACTGTCAAATTCCCCTAGGTATGCCTGTCCTCCCTGAGTCAGGCATAACACAACAGTGCAGATCAGAAATATATTGCGTAAACATAACTTGCACGTTTTGCCTGCCAAGGGCAGAGACAAGGGTTCTATAATATATATACAGTAAATGGGGTATATACTGTAGTATTTTTAGCAGTGATTTACATGTAATAAATTATTAAACAGCATCTATGACTGAGTTCAGCAATCTTGAATTAGCCTTTGAATATTTGGCGCAATTATTTTAGGAGCCTAAACTTTCATTAAATCAGAGCGTTCTATACCATTGAAATGACATGTATACACAATTTATCAGATATAAGTACAAATGCTTACCCTGCATAGCTTTGGCAAAGTGTCTCGCAGTTCTGTTTGACAAATTGTCCATTTTATCAACCTTCGTACAGTATCTTCGATGGACAACTTCGTCTCGTTTATAGTCGTCTTTAATATTAACTGTTTTCGTAAGAGCCTGTTCTCCTGGCCGACGTTTTGTAGTATATAAACAGGACATATTGGTCAGATAACGACACAGCCATATTTATATTACCATACGAGACTTGCTGAAGTTTAGCTCAGTAACTCAAATGTACTTTGGATGGACGAAAACCCTGTTTGTGAACCTTGAACGATAGTGACGGTTAAACCTCATCATAAAAATCCAAAATTGAGTGGGAATTAACGAAATATCTTCCGATTGGACGAGTATACATATACGCACAACGGGAATGCCATCCTGTTTGTAAAATAACTCAAATTACACGTATACTTTCACGGGGTCTAAACTGGTTTCGACGAGCAACATCTGGCCAAAAATTCGCTCAGTAGAACACTAATATACCATCATCCGTAAAATTGACGTTACCTGCACAACTGCAGATAGAAATAACAGTTATATTTGGTCAAAATTTTCCATTCCAGTACTGCAAAATATACAGCAAGCGAACAGACAATTGTTTGACCTGCCTGAGGGAGGGAGGGGAAGGTAATATTTGTGCAGCAATATGTAAACAAAGCGCGCGCGCGGGAATTTGCACTTGATCATCGATCAGGAAGCAAGGACGGCAAATCTCAAGAAATAATATGCTTTTTCTCTGTTTCGTCTGGTCGTATGAGCTTACGTAAAGTCAGTTGAAATGGCGCATTTTAACACGACATTCCACACAGCGAGTGGCGCACTTGCTAATGGTGGGATACGTCACGATCTGGGAGAAATCTCAGTGCAACCAGCGAGACAGAGCGAGCATATACTTTCGAAGCTAGGTCGGCTTTCCAGGCCGAACACGATCGAGGAATTCGTCGTAAAAGACTAAAAATAATTAAACAAGAAAGAGCGAGAGAGATATACAGGGATGTTTTAAAGAGAAAAAAGATCTGAGAGGGAAAGAAAAATGCAGGAGAGATTTATTATCGAGCATGAAATAGGAAGAAAATAGAAGCTAGTCGTTCGTGTACGTACATAAAGAGGGGAACGTGCTGTTGACTTCTGGCGACTGTGGGACAAAGAGAAAATGTTACGCAGTACGAGCAACATGTGAGTAAAATAGCATAAATTTATACAGGGACGCTGGAACTGGGGGGGGGGGGCAGGGGGAGCGGCTGCCCCCCTTGCCTTTTGCTAGTGGGGGGGGGGGGGAGAAGTGCCCTTTTAGTTGTAAAATACTACGTGATAAATCACATTTCCAACGATGCTTTTTCTAGGAAAATCATGAGATTCAGGCAATTTATAGTTTATATTTGACTTTCGCATATTTTAAAGACAGTGTCCTATAAATACGTGAAGTATCGTAAAGTTCCTGAAACCCGAAGCTATTATATATTTCGAATTTCCCAATTTAATACCCACACTGAAACAATTAACATGTAATACTACAGATATACTCGATAAATGTATAGTGTTCTATACTGAATTCTACAGATCAGCAGACATAGGTAAACAATAACTGCATGTCTAGTGACTAGTGTTTCTAAGCAGGACATTTTTGAAGAATTTGTCAGCGGGGTGGGGGGGGGGGCATCTACAAAAAAGGACCATACTATACCGATTGTGGAGAAATGATAGATGGTTTGTTGGTAACAAAAAGTTTGGTGTGGTATCGCATTTAACAGTAGGGAGGGGGGGGGGGTCTGGAGGTATTCTCCCCCAGAAAATATTTGTATTTCTCTATCCCTATGACTGCAATTCCCTGCATTTTCTGAAACAGATTTTTTGATATACAGCATTACATTGTGCTGTAGATAGACT